AAAGACTATGGAGAATCTTAGGAAAAGGGTTGATGTGAAATTAGTGTCCTCCAAAGACGACCTCCTAAAACTGACAGCATCACCTTGCTTCCAGTCACATCGAATCATGAATGAGAATCTTATAGTGGTAAAGAGGATGAAAGAAGTGCTAACGCTGAATAAGCCGTGTTACGTGGGAATGAGCATCTTAGATTTATCCAAGACTCTAATGTACGACTTCCATTACAACACCATTAAAAAGGAGTACGGTAATAGTTCGAGGTTACTGTTCACCGATACTGACAGTCTGATGTACGAACTGAAGACGGATGACGTCTATGAGGTCTTCAGGAGGATCGGCGAAGAGCAAGACTGCTGGGATAATTCAGATTACCCAAAAGACAGCCCTTACTACTCAACACATAACAAGAAGGTTATAGGTAAGTTCAAGGATGAAGCTGGAGGAGTACCCATAATTGAGTTTGTTGGGTTGAGGTAAAAAATGTACTCCTATGTCAAGGAAAACGGTGGGGGTGGAATGACAGCTAAAGGGGTTAAGAAGTATGTCATCAGAAACAAGCTCACTCATGAGAACTTCAAGAATGTAATCAACACGAAGGGTAGGATGAGACATAACATGAATACAATCAGGAGCACAAAGCATACAATTGGAACTTATGAAATGAGGAAGCTTACTCTGAGTTGCTTTGATGATAAAAGGTATCTTTTGGAGGATGGAGTTACCAGTTATGCTTATGGTAACAAGAATATAAAAAATAGTGACTGAGAAGTTCCCACAGAGTAGAAAGTAATAATCCTAAAGGGTAAATAAGCAGGTAGGGCCCCCTGCCTTATGTACCCCTAAGGAGAAAATAAAAGTTGTCGAAGAGGCTTTAGAATAGGAAAATTGGACGACATTGGGGAATCTAGAGGTTTAAGGGTTTGGAAATCCCTGGTATTTTGATAGAAGAGAACGGCGAATAGTTGAAATCTGAGTGTGACAACTAAAATAGGTATTGTGGAGGTTGTAGGAAGTATTAATCAGTGCTCAAAATTAATATCTGACGGTTCTGTGGAGAGGGGGGTGTGTTACCTCAAGGGTATTTTAAAAGTTGTCGAAAAGGCTCTAGAATAGGAAAATTATAGATCGTACGAAAACAAGAATATAAGAAATAAATGTAAGCAGGAAATGCCGGTAGTGAGATCACGAATGGTCTCGCTCCGCAGAGCGGAGCGGGACCATTAGTGGTCTCGCTACGGCAGTTCCTATACTACTAAGAATCTAACAAGCAAATTGAAGACATGTTAGATAACGGAATAATCAGTCCTAGTACCAGCCCATGGGCTAGCCCAATTGTCTTGCCAATTGCAAAAAGTCAGGCGAACTACGTTTTTGTATTGATTACCGTAGACTTAACCAGATTACACGCAATGACGCACATCCTCTGCCAAGGGTTGACGATTTACTTGACTCGGTTGGGAATGCAAAGTATTTTACCACACCAGACCTCAAAAGCGGCTACTGGCAAATTCCTAGTTCACCCTGATGACCGTGAAAAACTGCCTTATTCACGCATGGCGGCTTATATAAATTTAATCGTATGCCTTTTGGCTTAGCAACCGTGCCTGCAACATTCCATCGAGCAATGGAACTAGCTATAGCTGGCCTTACATACAGCATTAGTCTTTTCTAGTTAGATGACATAATTATCTTTAGTAACAGTATTACTGAACATTGTAACCGATTAAAAGCGGTCTTAACTCGCTTCCGGCAGCATGATTTGCGCTCAAATTTAGCAAAATGTACTTTCGCAGCTAAAAAGGTTCACTATTTAGGACATGTGATATCCGAAGACGGAGTTAGCCCGCTCGCGTCAAAAATTGAAGCAATAAAACAGATTCCTGTACCAAAGACAGTGAAGGAAGCCGAAGTTTTTTAAGGCTGTCAGGATACTACCGCCGTTTTGTTAAGGATTATGCGACAATTTCGGCGAATCTCACTAAATTGACCACGAAAACCAGCAATAAGCAGTTTAATTAACTGGACCACAGATTGAGAACATGCTTTTACAATTCTAAAAACATGCCTATGCAATTCGTCGGTTTTGGTTCATCCTAAATTTGACAGGGAATTCCTCCTACAAACCGATGCCTCGGATATAGGATTAGGAGCAATCTTTCTCAGCTTGATGGCAATGGCGTAGAGCGACCCATCGCGTATGCATCGTCTGGTCGAGAGCGTAAGTATTGCACTAGCGAAAAAGAAGCGTTTGCGGTCATATTTGGTATTCGTAACTTTCGAACTATTTACTAGGCTGGCCTTTTCAGGTAATAACGGACCATAGCGCACTAAAATGGCTCGACAGTGCATCTGAAGGGACGATTAGAGCGGTGGGTTATGGAGTTACAAGAATTTCAATTTTCAGTCGTTCATAAGCCAGGTAAACTACACAGTAATGCTGATGCACTTTCTCGTCTTGTAGCACATGACCAGTCTACTGAGAACACGTTGAATACATTTAACTCGCATGACCCTACAGCAGATAATAGTAATTGTGCCATAACGCTTAATCCGACTATAAACTTAAGGAAAGCTCAGCAAGACAACCCAAGTATTTCGAAAGTTATCCAAATGAAAACAAGCCGTACACCAAAATAAAAACTAGCAGCATGGAGAGATGATCGCAATTTAGTAACATTTTGGCATCATTACGATAAAATGTTTGTTAGAGATGGGTTGCTTTATAGGTCCTTAAAGACAAAAAATACACATCCAGATCCAGCCATAGTGGTGCCCAAAGCTCTAGAAACCGAAATACTGAAAGGTACTCACGACAGTCCATTCACCGGCCACTTGGGGGTCACACGAACATTAGATCGCATTAGGAAACGTTTCTTTTGGCCAAACATGCGGAAATCAGTTGAAAATTACATTCGCCAATGTGACACATGCGTCAAAAGGAAAACAACAGCACTGACGGCCAGAAAAAGCACAACCCCATTGAAAAGTTTACAAGTTAGCGAACCATTTACATTTTGGGCTTTAGATTACAATGGTCCCTTACCAGAAACAAACCGTGGTAACAAGCACATATTGGTTTTAATGGATCACTTCACCAAATGGTGTGAAGCTTTTCCTACGCCGGATCAAAAGGCATCTACTGTCGCAAAAATAGTTGTTATTTATTTATTTATTTATTTAGCTTTGCCAACTAGGGCACGGTCACCACAACAGCATATGCCAATTACTGTGGGCCCTTTTTACCTAAACCACCCTGTCAACTTTCCCTGTGGGAGGAAACCGGAGTACCCGGGGAAAACCCACGGCTTTCGGCGGAGCGTTGACTTTTACTCTTTTCACATGAGGACTGGGTTCGAGTCGAACTGAGAAGGTACTTAGTGAGATTCGAACTGTTGATAAAGTTTTTAGTCGTTTTGGTCCCCCAGTTGTCTTGCACTCTGATCAAGGTGCGAATTTCGAAAGCACGATAATGCATGAAGTATGCGATGTAATGGGAATTACAAAGACCAGAACAACCGCGTATCATCCTCAATGTGATGGGCAAGTTGAGCGACAAAACAGAACATTACAAGATATGTTAGCGGCATTTTGTACAAAACATGGCAATGATTGGGACTTAGGGCTAAACGCAGTAGTTTTCGCGTACAACACTAGTCGACAAGAATCACTACAAACCTCTCCGTTTGAAATAGTTTTTGGACGTATTCCAAGATTTAGGATTCCCACTGAAAGATCCCAGTACGCAATCAGAGTACACTCAGTCGCTTAGGGAGATATTTAAGGAAGTGAAGGAGGTAGCAAGGCCGAATTTAGAGAAAGCAAGAACAAAACAGAGAAAATGTAACGAAGAAAGAATTCGGACATGGAGCCCTTTCGCCCCAAGGGAAACAGTATACCTGCGCAGACCGAAAGGATGGAAATTGGGGGCGAAATTGTTTGTAGGATTGGTGTTGATTACAGAATAAGGTTGAGCAAAGGTAAGATTCCGGTGGTTCATCATGTTCGGCTAAAGCGTGGTTATGCACCGGTGAATGGCGGCAATGTTGTTTGTCCTGCTACAGAATTTGGTGGTGACCAGGTGGTTTACACTGCTCCGACAGACGACGTCCAACCTAATTGCGACAATGCTCCACATATCCCACGGGTTAGGCCTAGGAATCTCAGGCAAAATGTTCATCCGCCTGATCGGTACGGCTGTGCTGCGTAGTAATACTCCCAGAGGAAACACAGTTGTAATTGCAATTCTTGTGGGCAAGAATATTATTGTTGCGGGATGGTGTAACATGATACTGTAAATAGAGTAATGTAAAACTGGCATGCTATATGAAATCTAGTCAGAGTGAGCGTGCACCCTGAGAGAGAAGGTTGCACATGTAAGAAGTTATAAAATAAACTGTTAAAACCGAGTGTGTTATTTACGGTGCCTCGCTACGTTACATAGGTAAACAATTGAAATTTTGCAATTATTTTCTCGCTCTGTATAGGGTGTCTAAAAAAAAACGCTATGCAAATTCAACAGGCTGTTGTGCATCACAAACTTAACTAAACAGTTCATTTTTTACGTAGGACGAAACAGCTGTTATTTAGATTTTCTATGATACCTTTCTTAAACCGTAACGATGAGAAATGGCCACATACTCGTTAAATAAAAATTGTCAGTCGAAATCACATTCTTCCACCGTTGGGAATTGAAAATAATTAATTATGAAAATGTTAATCAATCCAAACGCAACGCGAGCCTTGTGCAAGGTACTTGTTTCGTAAAACTTTTTGATTAATACGAATGTTCTCTGTTCATGCAGTGGTTAATGGAACCATGTTTAATGCAATAAAACGTTCTTATGGTCTCACTAAGACAATGATTGACGAGTTGAGCTTATTTTAGATAATTTAACATTCAATTTTAATTCCCTCTTGGGAGTTGTTTATTGTTCGTTTTCCATGCAACTCTCAACGGTGGAAGAATGTGATTTCGACCGGCAGTATGTGGTCATTTCTCATCGTTACGATTTAAAAAGAGTATCATTGAAAAGCTAAATAACTGTTCTTTCGTCCTATGTAAAAATTGAACTGTTTAGCCACGTTTATACCCAATTTCCGTAGCTCGTTTTTTAGACACCCTGTATAGTTTAATGATTTCGAAATGACGGGCTTCGCTTATAAACTGCTAACAAATGCTCAAAGGCCATGTAAAGTCCGTAATTTAAACAAACGCTTTGTTTACATTATTTCTGAACTCAGCGCTATAGTTGTAAAATATGATTAGGCTGGATATATATTATAAGGAATTTTTAACACTCTTCTGGTTCGCTATATTTTTAAGTCAATACGGACTAGAGATTCAATTCAAGAAAGTTCGGAACGTGCGAAATATGCATAACATTCCAATGATCGGGTCCCGACCATTGGAATGTAGGTCTGCGCAGAACGTATGCGCGGAACGGACTTTACATGGTCTTTCATGACATCTCATATACCATCGATCCTCGCCCTATCATTCCCGACCATTGTATACTCATGTTCAAAATTGGCTAACGTTTTCTCCTGATTAAACGCGAACAATTTTGTAGCCGAGTGCCCTAGAAATTAGCAGCTGATTTTAAATAACAGTTTAGGGGCTGAATTCCAGCCCTATTAAAATGTTGAGATGAAATTTCATCTCGGCCAAGCAATAAAGTCCTTTCATTTAAATTGTAGCGTGGTTTTATATGCAGAACAATTGGTCAAAGATTCACCGACATATGAAATTTTCCCGCGTCATCCAGTTTAATTTAATTTTAACTTCGTGTACCATATATTGTTTTCAAATAATATATGCAGCTAATTCAAAAAAGGTTGTCCTTTGCAAACCTTAAACTCTAAACCTTAAACTCTAAGCCTTAAACTCTAAACTCATAATGGAAGCGTCATTTAATTAGTTTAGAAATCATATATGGGGCCATTTCTTAGAGTAATGGTAAATGTCTCCTCCATGGTAAATAGCTGCAATTATCATCTACTAAGCTTGAAACTTGTCCTCCCATTAAGCTTTGCGCGTTTAGATTTAAAGTTTTAAAGTTTACAGTTTAAGATTTGCAAAGGACAACCTTTTTTGAATTGGCTGTATATATTCTTTGAAAACAATATACGAAGTTAAAATTAAATTCCGCCGGCTGACGCAGGAAAATTTTATATGTTGGCGAATCTAAGCTTTGACAAGTCGTACCGAAGGCGAAAGGCAGACTTTGTGAATTTCAGTCCACCTATGTTTAACTGAAACTCACCCGCGTTCTGATCCAAATTGTTCTGCATATGAAACCACGCTGCAATTTAAATGAAAGGACTTTATTGCTTGGCCGAGATGAAAATTTCATCTCGACATTTTAATAGGGCTGGAATTCAGCCCCTAAACTAATGCTAATTTCTAGTGCACTCAGCTACAAAATTGTTCGCGTTTAATTTTGAGAAAACGTTAGCAAATTTTGATCCTGACTATACAATGGTCGGGAGTGATAGGGCGAGCATCGATGATATATGAGATGCCATGAAAATACGTCGACGTACGGAAAATATGTCGACATAGAGCTAAAACACCATCGAATACATTGAAATTCAGACACAGTCATGGAGTATATTATAACCACTTGCATGGAAAATGCATATAGCAAACGCATCTGTTCTCTTAGACAATGTACACATATGCAATAATAAATGTAACTTAATATATCTTGAAATTATAATGTGAATTTGCATGTCTTTATAGCGGTAAGTAAATACTTACAAAGTGTTATAAAATTTTAATCAAATTCAGAGGCAGAAATTATCAGTACGCATTTCAGCATGCAAATAAAAAAAAGGAAACAGCGTTGGTCCCTCACTAGGCAAATTCAAATATAGCTACGAATAAACGACACTTATATATTGAGCAGATTCCTAAAAGCAATATTCCTTGCCCTTTTCTCTCGCGGCGGGGCTGGTGTATTAAGAAGCAAAACTGTGATTTTAAACACCCAAAACATCTGCACCCAAAAAAGCTATGGGATAATATGCCTAAATACAGAATACGTTGTCCCTTTCTACAAAAGAGAGGGTTTTGCTTGAAAGGAGACCGATGCGATTTTTCACATAGTGATACCTCAAATATTCCGTCGACTTAAAGGCCTAACATGAACTATCCTAGTCCTTTTTTATCCCACCTGCAAAGGAAAATGACCCCAAATTACAACTGGCAAGTCCCCCCAAACTACCTCATGATACCATGGTCAACCTACCCGTGGCCAAAACCTTTAATGGACATCCCAATATATTCACCTCGTGTAGTACATCAACCAACCTACCCCCTTCACCTACGACCCCCCGTTTATTGAGTCACGAGACCACTCCCCTACGCAAATTTAGAAATTTAATAACTGTTTCACTCACCAAACATACAACAAATACGAATAAGAGTCAAGTGAAACCCAACGATAATTGTCAATTTCTTCCAACACTATTACTTTGAATTCGAATACAATGTCATTGGCCCCAAAAATTGATGAAATAGCGTTTACTATACAACAGAAAGATATTCAAGTAGGCTTCTTTACTGAAACATGGTTGAAAGATTTAATCGCAGATGACTCAATTGCTATTTATTTCTATCATCTATTTAGATTAGATCGCAAAAATAAGCAGCATGGCGGTGTGTGCTTGTATGCAGAACACTATTGAGAGTAAAACTTTGTCCATACTACATAAGGAGGATTATGAAGTTTTGTGGTTTACCAAAACGTTTACCTCAAGGTTTTTCAAATATTATTGCAGGTGTGCTTTATCACTCTCCAGGGGCGAATAACACACCAATGAAGGAACACTTAAATCATCACTGGAAATAATTGAAACACATTATCCAAACAGTGGCATAGTTCTGGCTGGTGATTTCAACAAGCTCGATTTTAAATCAACGGCGAAACTTTTTAACTTAAAACCTGCTATAAAATTCCCTAATCGAGGAATTAATACTCTTGATCAGAGTTTTACAAATCTTAAAAGCTTTTATAATCCCGGCAGCAGAAAGTAGTCCACCATTTGGTTTATCTGACCATGTCACGATCACTATGATTCCAGCAAAACGTGTCAATTTACGACCCCCAAAAAACGACTATAAAAAGACGGGAAAAAAGACCAAGCAATGTTGCAAGCCTTGTCCGTTTCCTTTTAAATATCGCGTGGGAAAATATATTGTCACCCCTGCGAACCTCTGATGATAAACTAACAACATTTACAGAAATAATAAATTATGGTTAAATACCATAATGCCAGAAAGATCAATTAAAGTAAACCCAAATGATCGTCCGTGGATAACTAGCCATTTGAAACGCCTTATTTTACAAAGACAAAAAGCACTTGCCTTAGGTAACATCTTCATGTTTAAATTGCTGCGAAACAAACTAAATCGGGAAAGAAAACGTTGTCGTAAAGTACTCTATAAGACAAAAGTTAGCAACCTCCTGGATTCGAAACCTAAAGACTGGTGGCGAGAGGTAAAACAGCTCAGTGGTCAGCAATCAACACGGCCAGACCTCAGATCCATGATTAGACTTGACGTTGAAGACAGTGATGAAGATTTAGGAAATAGGATTAACGAGGCCTTTATCAGTGTCATGAAAGACTTCTCCCCGCTGCCTGAAGATTTTAACCTATCGACTGACAATGATGAACCAATTAGCATCTCAGAAACAACAGTGGAGCGGCTACTACGTGCAATAAGTGTTTCCAAAGCTAGCGGTCCTGATGAACTTCCCAATTTGGTTCTAAAAAGCTTTTCTGACATTCTGGCACCTGCAATTACGGATATATTTAATGCATCCTTCCGTGAATGCAAGGTGCCGAGGGTATGGAAAGTAGCAGATGTGCCACTTGTTCTTAAAGCCAAAAACATTACTGATTTTAACAAGGACTTGAGGCCAATATCCTTAACTTTAACATTGTCAAAAATTGCAGAAAACCTCATCATCGAGTTTGAATTAAAATCTAAACTACTAAGAAAGATGGACCCAATGCAATTTGGCTTTATCCCAGGATCAAACACGACTCTTGCGCTTATTTCAATGATGCATACCTGGCTAGATACACTTGATGGGACGGGCTCTACAGTAAGAGTCGCTCTACTTGGTTATCACAAAGCCTTCGACCTAGTCGACCACAATCTACTTGTTGCAAAACTATCGAAATATGAAATAAAGCCAACGGTTGTAAATTGGATAGCTGACTTTCTTCGTGGTCGAACTCAGAGAGTTAAAATAAATTCCGTGCATTCAAATTTTTTACAAGTTCCTGCCGGTATTCCACAGGGAACGAAAATCGGTCCCTGGCTATTCCTAGCAATAATAAATGACCTATGTATTACAAAATCTCCGACTAGTAACCTGTGGAAATTTGCAGACAATACTTCAGTTTCCGAAGTTATTCCAAAAGATGGTGTTAGTTCCCTGCCAGATAAAGTAGACGAAGTAAATAAATGGTCGAATGACAACAATTTTCAACTGAACCCTGGTAAATGTAAAGAGCTGAGGATAAACTTTACAACGCAACCATTTACTGAGGAACCCCTAAATATAAACGGGAAGCCATTTGAAATTGTAAAATGCGCAAAAGTTCTGGGCATGATAGTTACCAATGATTTGAAATGGAACAAACATGTAAGCAATACCGTGGAAAAGGCTTCTAAGAGACTTTATTTATTAAGGCAATTAAAGCGTGCTGAAGTGGAAACTAGATCCTTATACAAGTTTTATACCGCGTGTATAAGATCAGTCGTTGAGTATGCTTGCCAAGTCTTCCACTCGAGTTTCCCTAACTACCTATCAATGGAAATTGAAAGTATTCAGAAGCGGGCACTACGGATTATTCACCCAGACTCGAGTAACATCGAAGCATTAAAAAAGGCAAAGTTGGAAACATTCCACGATCGAAGAGAAGAGTTGGTTGTAAAACTATTTTCATCAATCGAAGCAAATGATGATCATAAGTTAAAGGAACTATTGCCACCGAAAAATTCACAACCAAACAATCTCAGAACAAACAGAAAATATAATCTTCCCAAGATGCACACGAACAGATTTAGTAATTCCTTTATTCCATATTGCGCACATAATGCGACTTTGTAGGTAATTTCAGATCACTAATATTTTAAATAGTTATGAACATCCCACCGGGCACACAATGTTGTTTCAACGTTGAAATTTGGTAGAAAAAAGGTTGCGACGTCGACAACCTAATATCTACGTTGCTCTGACGTTGTTTTACAAACATTGGTTCAACAGCAGCCAACAGACGTTGGATTAACGTTCATTCATGGTTAAATGTACGACGTCGATTTGTGAACCAATCTCAACGTTGTTTTAACGTGGATTCAACGTTGAATTATTGTTTACGAGATTGGCAACCTAATTTCAAGTAACGTTGTTTCAACGTCGAAACAGTAACGTCGATCCAATTTGCATAGTCAACCCTTTTTCAACGTCTATCCAACGTCTGGAAGGTCATTTCCAACGTTGATTCAACGTTGGATAAACGTCATTTTGCCCGCTGGGATACATTTATATTTAGATTTTAGACTTTTTATTAGAGACAATACGATATGTAAAAACATGTTATGTAAACATAGGTACATACATATATATATATATATATATATATATATATATATATATATATATATATATATATATATATATATATATATATATATATATATATATATATATATATATATATATATATATATATATATATATATATATATATATACACTTTTGTAACTTCAATAGTAATTCAGTTCACAAGACTGTAAATATTGATTCAATTAAACGTTCTATCTATCCATCGATCTAGCGAATGCAATGCTAACCATCCACGAATAATATAAGATTTATAGATTATGGCAAAGATAGAGACATCGCTTACAGGAATGTATAACCCTTTGAATGAATATTATTTTATAACACTTTTTGCTGAGCTCAACATTTCTGGGCAATCTTATAGTGAAAGGAGAAGAGATTTCAGAGATCATATATATATATATATATATATATAACTACAGACGGTACCGTTTCGGCCTTATGGGCCTCATCAGTGTAGTGCTGATGAGCAGGATGAAAGTAACTGCTATTTACAGTTACCTTTGATGCCTCACGATTGTGGGACATCAAAACCATGCCAGAGCGCTCAAACTGCAAGCAGTGAGCGTGCGCAATGCGTAAGCGGCATGGCTCATCCTGTAGAGCGCTCAATATGACCTAAAGCCCATAGAGCGATATCTAACTACAGACGGTACCGTTTCGGCCTTATGGGCCTCATCAGTGTAGTGCTGATGAGCAGGATGAAAGTAACTGCTATTTACAGTTACCTTTGATGCCTCACGATCGTGGGACATCAAAACCATGCCAGAGCGCTCAAACCGCAAGCATGCAGTGAGCGTGCGCAATGCGTAAGCGGCATGGCTCATCCTGTAAAGCGCTCAATATGACCTGAAGGCCATAGAGCGATATCTAACTACAGACGGTACCGTTTCGGCCTTATGGGCCTCATCAGTGTAGTGCTGATGAGCAGGATGAAAGTAACTGCTATATATACATATATATATATATATATATATATATATATATATATATATATATATATATATATATATATATATATATATATATATATTTTGTTGTGGACAACATACTTGGATAATAAATATATAGATTTTGAACGTAAAGGATACAGCCTAAACCCAATTTATATGGTCTTAGTAGACCTGACTATACCCCAAACAACAATAAACTTCATCAAGTATAACGCATTCAAGATGCAGTACCATTTCTGGCTATTACTAGGTAGACATATTTCGGTCTAATACGACATATTTCGGTCTCTACGTTCAAAATATATATATATATATATATATATATATATATATATATATATATATATATATATATATATATATATATATATATATATATATATATATGTATATATATATATATAGATATCGCTCTATGGCCTTTAGGTCATATTGAGCGCTCTACAGGATGAGCCATGCCGCTTACGCATTGCGCACGCTCACTGCTTGCAGTTTGAGCGCTCTGGCATGGTTTTGATGTCCCACAATCGTCATCAAAGGTAACTATATTATATATATACATATATATATATATATATATATATATATATATATATATATATATATATATATATATATATATATATATATATATATATATATTAAGATGAAAATGTTCTAGAGTGTGTAGGCCTATTATATAATTTCCATACCCAGCGCAAGCAGAAAGATGTTGTCTGCCGCGGCTGGGTCTTGAACCCGCGACCTTCGAATTACTAGATCGACGCTCTACCTACTGAGCTACACGGTCAGACGGATTTAAGACTGGAAATTATGAAATATATACTGAATGTCATAAACATACTCGTTTATATTAATTCAGCATCGAACAATACTAGTTCTGCAAGTGTTATGTTAGTTGTGTAATTGTACACTCTGTAATATGTTAAGATGAAAATGTTCTAGAGTGTGTATTATATAATTTCCATACCCAGCGCAAGCAGAAAGATGTTGTCTGCCGCGGCTGGGTATGGAAATTATATAATACACACTCTAGAACATTTTCATCTTAATATATATATATATATATATATATATATATATATATATATATATATATATATATATATATATATATATATATATATATATATATATATATATATATATATATATATATATATATGTATATATAATTTCGCTTACCTCAAAATTCCGGAACAGTCTGTTTTATCAGTAAAGAATCATCAGGCGGTACGCCTGATGATTCTTTACTGATTCTTTACTGATGAAACAGACTGTTGCGGAATTTTGAGGTAAGCGAAATTCTACATTTGCTCTATCTTTATGGTATTGAGCATTCTTTGCGTTTCGTATACACAAACCTACTCGTATATATATATATATGCATGTCTGCAGAAACATGCATGTCTGCAGATTGTACTATATATATATATATATATATATATATATATATATATATATATATATATATATATATATATATATATATATATATATATATATATATATATATATATATATATATTTCAAAAACTCATTAATAATTCATGAAGCAATTATCCAATCTTGAGTAAGAAATTAGTCACGTGTATACGTCTTTATACCAGCTAAAGAACACTTTAACAAAAGACCATTGTTATGCAAACTATATAAAGATTTTTATATAAAGATTTTTATATAAAGATTTTTATATAAAGATTTGACTTATTATGCATACGTTTTTGAAGTCATTTAAAAAACTCGCGGGTCGTATTTTATTAGGTCAAAAGCCACTCGCGTTGCGCGCTAGCTCGTGGCTTTAAACCTAATAAAACACTCCTGCTCGTTTTTTAAATAGTACATATATATATATATATGTATATATATGTATATATATATATATATATATATGAAACATTGTTTTTCAATTCCGGAGTAAAGACAAGAAAATTTTAAGTAATTGATGTACAGTGGCATAATACAGAGAACATGATTGATGTGTTTAACTAAATGCAAGAGAATAAATATCAGCTGCTTTACGGTTGTCGAAGGAAAATGGAAATACAGATATTTTGTTTCAATAACGTGATATTTTAGCATAATTTAACTCAAGTAGGAGTCAATCATTGAAATTAATTAATTAAGTCAACCAAAAGAGTTGGAAACAAGATGTCTGTCGACGGATC